TTCTTCAGTTGATTTATTACCCTGCACAAAACCAAAATCCAGGTGGATCAAAGACCTCAATATAAAACCAGACACACTAAACCTGTTAGAAGAAAAAGTGGGGAAGAGCCTTGAACTCATTGGCACAGGAGACAACTTCCTGAAGAGAACACCAACAGCACAGACTCTAAGATCAACAACCAATAAATGAGGCCTCATGAAACTGAAAAGCTTCTGTAAAGCAAAGGACACTGTCATCAGAACAAAACGATAGCCTACAGACTGGGAAAGGATCTTCACCAACCCTATATCTGATAGAGGGCTAATATACAGAATATATGAAGAACTTAAGAAGTTAAACACCAAGAAATCAAGTAATCCAAATTAAAAATGGGGTACAGACCTAAACAGAGAATTCTCAATAGAGGAATATCAAATGGCAGAGAAACACTTAAAGAAATGCTCAACATCCTTACTCATCAGGGAGATGCAAATCAAAATGACCCTGAGATCTCACCTTACACCCATCAGAATGGCTAAGATCAAAAACTCAAGTGACAACACATGCTGGAGAGGATGTAGAAGAGGGGGAACCCTCCTCCATTGTTAGTGGGAATGTAAACTTGTACAACCAATCAATTTGGAAATCAATTTGGTGCTTTCTCCGACAATTAGGAATAGTGCTACCTCAAGATCCAGCTATACCACTCCTAGGCATATTTCTAAACTATGCTCAAGTATACAACAGGGATATTTGCTCAACCATGTTTGTAGCAGCTTCATTCGTAATAGCCAGAATCTGGAAACAACCCAGATGTTCCTCGACTCATTGAATTTTAAAAGATATGGCTATTAGGCAGTCTCTCTAAAGTAGTAGCTGCAGGCTCCATAAGACAGTAAGAGAAGGAAGAACTTTTTAAGATTTTTTTTTTCTCCCTTGATTTATTTTCTTATTTAATTTGAAATGACAATGGATCTTGATCTTACTGTTTGAATGTCTTAGAAAATATGTTGTGTTTTTATTTCTGGTGGAAGATATTAAACAAACTTCCAATGTTATGAAAAGTTTTCTAGACATGTATTTAATGAGTACAGACTTTCTTTTATAAAGCAGTGCTAGTTTTGGGAAAAGTTCAGAAAATCTTCCATGTAGAAGCTCATACTTATTCTCTTATTCAGACCATTGAGAATTTGGTAAGATACCAACACTTTTATTGTTATTCTGTTGTTGGTCCTTTCATTTTTAGAAGTAACTAAAGGATTTCCTATAAAACAGAGTTATCTCTAAATGGTAGTGTTCTCAAGGATGCTGTTACAGGGAAGCAGGCAGTAGTATTATTTAGAAGGATGGTCACAGAATTGGTATAGTCTTTAAACTATTTTCTGAAGTGAGTATGTTAAACTTGTGTGGTTGTAACCTGTCTTTATGAATATTTGCTTAACTGTTAAGGTGGAAAAGGAAGTATGTTTAATATTAGGATTTTGATTTTTTAGTGTAAATTGATACTCAAAAATTTCTTCATAGAACCTTTGCTTCCTTGCCTGGTCATTTTCCCAGCTCAGCACATCTAGCATGTTCAGAATTTGAAGTGTTGATATAGCATGTTAACATAGAATGTTGTGGTATGTGTTCTTTAATAAGATGGGAATTTGTCTGTCCATGCCAAGATAAGTGTTCATAATCTTATAGAGCACTGTCTTGAATGTGTGGCTGTGTGCTGCAATCAGCTGGACAGTTCTGAGCTAAGGGAGATATTTTATCTTACATTTGTACACTTATTCAAACTATAAGTTTGACTATAACAAGTAAACTTTGTTTTCCTTGTGAAAAAAACATTTAGAAATGTTTGACAAGTGATGGGTCTAGTATTGAAATGTAATTGTGCTTTTGATTGTAGTTTTGTTGTGTTCTTTTAAAATATTTCCTTCATTTTAGTTTAATTATTCTATTCTTTCATAGGCTTATGTTAAAACTAAAAATCAGCCCTCCTACTTCCAATGTTGATCTCCTTTGGGCACAGGGATCTTCTATGAGACTGTTTCTCCAACCAAGGAACATGCATGGATATAACCTATAACCCCTGCTCAGACATAGCCCATGGTAGCTCAGTATCCAAGTGGGTTCCCTAGTAAGGGAGACAAGAATTATTTCTGACATGAACTCAGTGACTGGCTCATTGAGCTTCCCCTCCCCTCTGAGGGAGGAGCAGCCTTACTAGGTCATAGAGGAGGACATGATAGCCAGTCCGGAAGATAGCTTATAAGCTAGGGTCAGATGGAAGGAAAGGAGGACTTCCCCTATCAGTGGACTCAGAAGGGGGCAGGGAGGAGATGAGAGAGGGAAGGAAAGAGAGAGAGGGCTATGGCTGGGATACAAGGGACTGACCCGTGATTTAAAATAATAATAATAATAATAATTTTAAAAAAAGAAAAAAACATTTATTCAGGGTGAGGGACCAAAAATTAACACATAGATTTCTCTTTGGCTTACTACCCCTATATCCACCCTGAAGGGACCCCTACTCATTTTGATTTTTATCTTTGGGACTTGTACTTTAAATTACTTGATGGCTCTCATGAAAAAATGTTTGGGAGCAATACACTAATGGTACTCAGATCCCATTATAAAAAGGTAAATCTATAGGATACAAGGGGTTATATCTAGATGACCCAAGATTGAGTCTTCAAATGATCATGGGAAAGGGGAAATGAGAGACCAAAAGATTAAAAATCAGCATCTATTAATATTTAAGGGCTGAACTAGGTGGGTGGAGAGGTCCAGGAATGCCCTGAGGGGAAGAACCTGCCTTACTGTACTCTTTCTCCACCCACTAGAGATACAGTTGCTAGGAAACTGGCCCATCCCTCTAGGGAGGGACACCAGATCATTAATGGTCTGGGGACCTTCCTATAGCCAATCAATTTAAAATGCAGCATTTTGACCAATAGATGCTTGCTAGGCAGGAATCGCCCCTGCCTTGGGCATTCTGGGAGGGACCAGAATCTTTAAATCACCCAACTAACCTGAGCACAGGGCTCTCTGCTCTCACCCCTTAGGTCGTGGGGGATGAGGGCCCAAGCTGCAGCTTGTAATGATTTATAATAAAAAGAACCTCATGTATTTAAAAAAAAAAAGATTCCAATGTAATAACTTTTTCATTTTATAAAAAAATTATTATAGATTCATATATTGTTTTTCATTGTAATTAAAAACAGAAAGGAGATGATTGAGGTTCAGCTATAGATGAAATCTAAATTCTCTTCTGAAATGTCCGAAACAAAAATTAACTCAATTTTTGCAAATAAATAAGTTCAATAGTTTGTAAAATAAAAAAAACAAACACAAAACTAAAAATCTGTCATCCATTTTTATAAATTTACCTCTATGAATTTAAACCAAACCAAATGCTGGTTGAGGTACTACGTGATTCTTCAAAAGCATTTGTTCTGACAGCCCTGTGAACTGGAAAGCTTCACTCTACTTGTGCCCTCATTCTGAACAAGTTACAGCTAGAGGTGTGGTTCTGAAGGAAGCTAATATTAATTCACACACTGGTTGTTTGACTCCTTTTGGTTTTATTGGTATACTAATTTATTTTTTGGCATTTAGGATAGTGTTTGGCACTATTCCAGTGCCTAACACATGCCTTGTCAAAGTGCTGTGCTCCCAGCCCCAAAGCTCTAGGGTTTTTTTCTCCCCCGAAGACAGGGTCTCATTATGTGGCTTGAGGGCTGTCTTGAAACTCATGTGACCAGGCTGGCTATTACCTGTTTTATCATAGAGAAGGTATAAAAGAATTAGGTTTCTGAGACTGATACTCCAACCAGGGACCATTCATGAACCCCTGCACAGATGTAGCCCATGGCAGTTCAGTGTCCAAGTGGGTTCCCTAGTAATGGGAACTGGGACTGTCTCTGACATGAATTGATTGGCCTGCTCTTTGATCACCTCCCCCTCAGGGGGGTACAGCCTTACCAGGCCACAGAGGAAGACAATGCAGCCACTCCTGATGAACCTGATAGACTAGGATAAGAAGGAAGGGGAGGAGGACCTCACCTATCAGTGGATTGGGGAAGGGACATACATGGAGAAAAGGGAGGGAGGGTAGTATTGGGAGGGGAAGAGGGAGGGAGCTACAGGTGGGATACAAAGTGAATAAACTGTAATTAGTAAAAATAAATAAATAAAGATTAAAAAATAAAGAATTAGGAAAATCCCAGAGACATTTGGAATGTATTTAAGCAACTGTCTATTTGTTACTTCTCTTGTTTCACATTTGGGATAATAGCTACTTAGAAAGGTTTATTTAAGTAACTTTAATTGAAAAAATATGGCATTTTAAAGCTTATAGAGTTATTATTGAAGGACATTTAGGTGGAAAGGAAACTTAAGTTTTTTGAAGTAGTAACAAGTAAATTTTTTTTTTGTCCTGATCTTTCCCATTTAGCTACTTTTAGGAATTTCAGGTAGAATTCTTTTACAGTATCTTTTTTTTCTTGCTGGAGATCTAATGTATCACCAAATATAATACACTAGTTAATCTTTTTTTAAAGTATTTATTTATTTTTATGTATATGAGTGTTTTGTCTGCATGTATGTATGAATACTATGTGTGTGCCTAATGTCCATGGAGATTACAAGAGGTCATCAGATCTTCTGCAACTGGAGTTCCAAACAATTGTGGGCCACCAAGATGGTACTGAGAACCAAACTCAGGTCCTCTGTAAGAATAGCAAATGCTTTAACCATTTAGCTATCTCTCCAATCCCAAGACTGATTAATCTTTACACTTAAATATTTTGATAAACGGTCTTTAGAGATTTCTCCTTTTGAGATAGGGTCTATATAGCCTAAGCTGGCCTTGAATTCGATGTCCTTGAGCCTCAGATCCTTTTATCTTCCTCCTAAATGCTGAGCTTATAGGCCTGTGCCACTGTGCTCAATTTGAAATTTTATTCTTGATTAATTCGATGTGTTTTACAGGATTTCCAATTGTTTAAATATATTTCCTTCCTTTTAGAGTTCATCTCTCAAATATATTAGATCTTCATGCCTATGATATTCTTTCTGGAATAAGGTATGTTTTCAGTATTTTGGTCATTTTTAATGTAATGTGTTTTATTCCAGCTTCTAACTGGAATGCCATTCTAACTTCAAATGCCATTTCTTTGGCATATAAGTTTGTTCTTTGTTTTATTTCCTGAAGCATGGCCTTACTTTATAACCCAGGCTGGCCTTTAAGCTTATGATCCTCTGTCTCAGCTTCCCAACTGCTGAGATTAAGGGTTTCACCTTTAATCTCAACACACCTGCCTCACAAGAAAATTTCTAATTATGATCTTGAAAGCTGTGGTAACTGGTTGTTTGGAAATCACAATGCATTTTTCTACAGAAATTTTAATGTAAATGATAATTAACCCTGAGATTAGTATTTCTTGCCAAGATTATGACACTCTTTCTAAAAATAAAATAAAATTTATGAAATACATAGGAAAATCTAACTGGCTGTTCTTATAGGCTCTTTTCCTTAGTAACAGCATTCTGTCTCATTTTGGAGGGATCTTTATGTTAAGAGATGAAAAAAAAGTTATTCTTGGATATTTGTGTTTTTTTTGTTTTGTTGCTTTGTTTTGAGACAAGATCTTGCTATGTAGTTTTGGCTGGCCTGGAACTTGCTATGTAGACTGTGGCCATGAACTCATGTGGATTTGCCTGTCTCTGCCTCTGGAGTGCTAGAATTAAAGACGTGCCACTACATCTGACTGACTGAATTATTTTTCTAGTTATACTAAGAATATATAACATAAGATCTCTCGTAATACATTTTGAAGTTATAATACAGGAGTGTTAACTTTAGTCATGATGATTTATTACACAGACTTGTGAAACTCCTGGAAACCAGTATATTCAGTTTCTGCTTCAATGGCTGTGGCATTTTGTTCTTCAGGGATAGATGGCAGGACTTCCTTCTTTTTAATGTCCATTTACATATACACAAGGAACACACATTTATTTTATTTGTTCATCTAAAAATAAACATTTAGGTTGTTTTCATATCTTAGCTATTGTAAATAATGTTTATAGTGTCTTTTAAGTTTCATTTGTGTCTACTCAAATTCATGAAAATGATACTTCTCTGGTATTTTGATTTAGTAAAACTGTTTTACTTAGGAGGTATCCTGGGTGGTTCTGTACTTGTGAGACACAAGTAGGCACCCAGCCTCCAGTCTTTAGTATTGTGTACTCTTTAAAACAACATCTACAGTAACCTGAGGATATGACATGGTGTTTTATTAGACTTCTTTATCTTATAGAGAATTTAATTCCCATTATGAGGATTTTTAAAAATGGGACTATGTTAGTGCCTAGATGTATAGAATATACAAGGCAGCGATTTCCTTGTTTTTAAGATTAAAATCTAGAGTGGTGGATATATCATCTTGCAAGTCAGAGGCTAGAATAGCCATTTTAGAAGTTAAGCCTTCAATTAAGAATGATTTTCACTTATTGCTTCTGGTGTTGGACTTACAAATTAAAATGACCATTTCATGAGCACCTGGATGAAATCTGTGTTTGCTTTTCTTAAGATCTAGTCAGTAGAAAGATAGCAATGTTTCATATATATGAATCACAAATGAGTATGTACTTATTTAAATATATCCCCATCAGACCATCTGATTGTTGCTTTCCACAGTGTGAAGCCTTCCTGATCCATTTTCCTGCTGTACCTTTTGAGTACTCAAGAGTTTTTTTTTTTTTTTTCAATATATTTGATGATGGTTGCATATGGAATATAAAAATCATTAGGAATTAGATTAATTCTTTTTCACACAAAAGATTCTGAATAATAAATTCCATGTTTTAATAGATGCTTGTCCACTAAACTAGAGTACAGTTCCTTTCCTTTTTATAATAGGGACTAAATTAAGGGCACATAATTCTGAGAACTAACCATAAATGTTCCTTGTTAATTTTTTTCTTTTTAGTATACTCATTAACAACAATGAAACATGATTTTCCAACAATTTTCTAATCTCATTCTACTTTTGATTAAGAACAGTTATGTTTTAGCAATACTTAAAGGAGTATGTATATAATGTTGTCCCTCTTGTAGATGAGGCTCTTGCATGGCTTTCTTTTTGCTTAGCTGTTAAACAAGAGAATCCTTTCCTAAGCAACCAGCTGGGAAGGATTTAACTTGACACTTTCCCTACTAAGACCCCCCCCCCCCCAGTGTGAGTCATTCTTTCCATAGTTCCTACAGCCTAAACTTGTTGTTACTAATTTACCCCTCACCGTGCTTCAAGACCTGACATCTGCAAGGCTTTAAGTACCTTGTCTCCCTTCTGCCCTGTCCTCATCAGTATCTAAATGTGTGCTAGAGTTGTTGTGGTAATAATTTGTTCTGCATATTGGTCTTCTGGCTCTTCTCATAACAGAGCAATGCATTCTTAAGATTCTGACTTCATTTTTTTCCTTCTCTGCCTCTTCCCCCCCTTTTGAGAACGCTCTGGCTGTCCTAGAACTCACTATGTAGACCAGGCTGGCTTCGAACTCCTCAGTGCTGGGATTAAAGGTGTGCACCACTATGCCTGGCTTCATTTTTTTCTTTACTGGTAACTGACTATATAGGAAATTTGTATTTGGATTTTGTTTGTCCTTAAATAATAGATATGTTCGTCCAAGGGAAACTTGTAGTAAGGGAAATTTTACATTTTTAACTTTTCAGGCTACCAGCATATTTTATATTAGGAAGCATAGAGAAGTAAGAAATGTAGAAGCACTATAAAAAGGTCATGTATGTTTCCATGTTGAAATTATTATATTAACCTGTGGGAATAATTAAGAAATCTACTGACATTTAACAATAGAATGTTGCTGAAACAGTTTTCTCCTCATTATATGATACTTATGTGATTGTGTGTGCATTCAAAAACATGTTTTATAACTTAGATATGTCAGCTTTTCTCTACTTTTCTATACCTCTCTCAACTTTTCTATACATAAATTGCTTATATGTATAAATTTAAAATACATAAAGAGTAAGTAAAATTGGAACCTTGGGGTAGATTCAGTTATGGAATGCTTGTTCCTTAGTTGGCATTGTGTCTCTAGGTAATAGATAATGTTAAATCAGAAGTATATTGATCTTTGAATCTGTAACTCGTTGTTCTTAGTTTGCAGAAAAAACTCCAGCATGTGTCAACAGCACCCCACCTTGATCAGGTAAAAATAAAAATATAAAATATCTAGTTCAACTAAGTTGAGATATTTTTATTAGATTTCTATCTAAAATATTATTTATAGACTAAGTTGGCAGTTTTAAGAGTTGTACATGTCTTTGAGGTTGTGTGATCTAGTTTAGCATGAGAGTCTGTCACATGTTAAGCTTTCTAATCCTCCTCCAAGTTTCCTAATATTTTAAAAAATCTTGTATTCAAGCTTATCTTGGTGAGAATTTCTACATAAGTGAAACCTGGGGGTTCTATCTGTATTCTGCTTTAAATGTATTTAACTAATTGGTTAAGGGAAAATAAAGGATGGCTTATTTAAATAAAAATCTGACCTTGAATTTTACCTTCAATAGCACTATAAATTTGAACTCTACAAATTTATAGGTTGTGGTTCTCCAGGATGAAATTTAAGAAACTAGGAACAAAGTAGATATATTTTTCACTAAAGGATGCTTCTCCTAAGCAAGTCCTAGAGGTTAGAACTTTAAGCTAATTCCTTTATTTCATTTAAAGCAGTGAGGGGGCTTGTGAGTGAGTTGTGTGCCTGACTCATCATCTGTCTAGAGCTGTAACTGAGTTCTCAAGTTTTTATCACTTGTAATGGGGCCAAGATAACAACAGTCCCTTGTACATTTGTCTTCTATTTGGCTCGTGTTCATAGGAGGCTGTACCACCATGTGCATGGCAGAGTTCTCAGAGAATTTAATACCTCTAAAATGAGTAAGTGAGAGAAATAGTAAGTCCCTGGTAGTGTAATTTGTGGGGAAATTAAGTGTATATGACATTTACTAGTAGTCTTAGAATGAAATTGAAACACATTTGTATTGAGCTTCTAGGTTCAGGAAATGTCAAGTTAAAAGATGAAGAAAATGGAATCCTCACAAGAATCTTTTTGATGGCCAGTATCTGCATGCACGCCATCATGGTATTTATAACATCATGCAGTGTGATTTGTAATGTTCTCCCTTGTATTACTCTACAGATTCTTTAAAAATAATTATTCATTATGTAGCATAGGACTTGATATGTAATAGCAGTTCAGTGAATATTTATGAAAGGAATAAGCTTAGATTCTTAAATAGCGGTATAATTCAGAGACACTTTTGGAGCATTCTGCTTGCCTTCCCGACTTTCCCGCCATTCTTATTATCCAAATTCAGATACTCCATAGTCTCTTCCACTCAGATCTCCAGAAATGATGCCTAGATACATGCATATTAATCCTTGCTTTAACATTTTATTATGAATATTTTCAGTGCTGTGCAAAAAGTAAAGATACTAAAATGGATCTCTTGTTCACATCATTTTGTTTAAATGGTGTCAATATTTTGCCAAATTTGTGTTTTCCCAACATTCCTTTGCTGGAGTTTAGAATATATTTTTTAAATAGTAAGTTTCAAACATACATAAAAGTAGAATAGTGTAAAGAATCTGTATATACTTATACACTGTATATACTCCTGCCACAGTCTATTGAAGCAAATCCCAGACGTTACATCATTTCACCAGTAAATAGGGCATGTCTGTTTTTGTTAAAACTGAACGTGAGATTCTGACATACTGTCCTGCTTTAAGTGCATAAACATAGGGCAGAGGAATATTCCAGACAAAAGGATCTGGGATTCAAGCATGAACCTTTTCACTGGGTTTAGTGGATCAGAGCTATAGAGGAAGAACTGCATCTCTTCTTCACCAATTGGCAATTTCAGGTTGCAGTACCCATCATAAATAAGACAGATTAGCAGGAAGAAAGCATACCAGTTTACCTAACTAGTTGATATATGGAAGTCTTCATAATGAAGTCCTTAAGAATTGGATAAACCTGAATGTTTTTGTTTTAGGTTTAATGAATAATGAAGAGTTGTGGAGAAATAAGATAGGGAAAAGAATATGACCTAACAGTACTAAATCAGAAGATTTAACAAAAGCTTATTTGTTTAGAGTTTTTTGGTTTGTTTAGTTTTTTGGTTTTTTTTTGTTTTTTTTTTTTTTTGTGACCTTTATCTTCAAAGATATTTGTGATCATCCACTGCTCTAGGGACTTGGACCTGACTAGGGCAGTGAGGGAATGAAAAGATAGGCACAGACAGACAGAAACACAGAAAAGCTGGGATTGGGTGGTCTGGGCTCTTGACTGAAAAACTTTAGCACACTAGAGTTGAACAGAATTTATTGTCTAGAGCAGGACCAAGGAGACAGGTTTGACTAATCTTGGTAGTCTCTGCAGGGGAGCAGACTTCAGGCCGTAAACATCTGGTTACTAGTAGCCATTCTCTGCATACACTGTCAATACTTGCAAGGAGGGCTTTGCCATTCCTCTTAATCTGATGCTGCAGGGTTCTTGACATGGCTGTGCCAATAATAAGAACACATACGCACCCACTCAGGACTTCTTCCCCTCCCTACAGATAAGGATGTCCTTTCTTGTTGGCATTTATCACATAAGAATCTTATTATCTGTTACATGAATAGCTCAGAAATCAGTCCTTTGTTTTATGACTTATTTCAGGGAAAAGTCAGGATAGGGTGGGGTGGATAAGAGTGGTTTTCCTTTTCTGTTTCTCAAATGCCAGAGAGTTGTATTTTGGGCTAGAGTGCTATATTGGTTACTTTTCTCATTGTGGTAACAAAATACCTGACAAGAGCAACTTAAGGAAGGAAGGATTGAGGATTCTAATGAGTTAACTGGGAAAATAAGCCAAATCAATAAACTAAAGTTACTGTTAATCCTATTTTAAGGGAATTTATTAGGCTTTAGTTTTCTGAATTATTGCCTCATTTTTCTGCTTTTGTGTTGCTAGCCATGGGAAGATACTCCATTTTAGATTCAAAGCAAAAATAAATTAAAAAGTCTAGTCTGAGGTTGGTATGAGCTTAGGATATGATTTATATAAGTTACTGAAGTTTTATTCCTGAGAAATATTTACTATAATTCACATTTTTTATTTTATATCATTCCTTGTTTAATCCCAATAAAGATGAGCTGGAGAGGGAATATAGAACGCCCAGGTGGCAGTCTATAGTTAGCTTTATTTTTAGAAGGAATTTTGGATTTTATATTTTTACCATAATTTATAGCTTTCATCTTTTTTAAGTTTTTCTCATATGAAAAGAACTTAATTGGTATGAAAAGCTACAATTCCAAAATTAGCAATCATCTACTTGAACCCTTTTATGTATTATCTCAATTTTAAGAATCAGTTGTGCCTACTGCTGGAATTAATTATATTCTTTTAAAATACTAAGTGATAACAAGGTGTTGTGATGCCTGCCTCTAATGCCTGTGTTTCCAGTTCTGAGGAGGTAGATGCAGGTGGATCAACAGTTCAAAGCTGGCCTGGGTTACTTGAGACTGTCTCAGAAAACCAAAATTAACTGAACAAAGTCATGTCCTTAAACTGCAAAAGAAAAAAATGCTTTAAAAATCTTTAAGCTAACAATAAACCAGAGAGTGTATTGAGTCTTGTGTTGAAACATTCTTAGTAGTAAAAACTAAGTTGTTCAATTTGAATGAAATACATTTGTAAGTTTTTTTAAGACAGTTATTTTCTTTTGAAATTTGATACATTGTGTCTCATTTGATATCCTTTTACAGTATAAGGAAATACAGGATTTTAGGTACTTTTAGCAATCTCTTTAATAACAAAAATTACCATTTTACTTAAATGCATAATATTACTCTGAACTACAAAAACCATCAATAGTTTTAAAGGAGGATATGTTTACTAAGATCTTAAAATAAGTACCTTATATTGTTGTGGAAAACTGCTTAAGCTGATCTCTGTCCTCTAAAGAAATTGTAACTGTTCATAAGGCAGTATTGTTAGCTGTGTGGCTGTTGTACAGCAGGACTTTGTGTCTTGTGGGATTCAAATAGGACTCACTGAACGCTCCTCAGTGCTGTCCCCACAGCACCAAGGAGCTGTCATTTTATTTTCTGACTTTTGTAAGTTTAACTATTTTAAGTTCTTAATAAAAGTGGAATCGTACAATATTTGTCCTATTTCTGGCTCATTTCACCAAGCATAGAATCTTCAAGGTTTATTTACATTTTGCTATGTGGCAGAATTTTCTTCCTTCTTTTCCTTCCCTCCCTCTTTCCCTTCATTTCTTCCTTCCTTCATTCCTTTTTTCCTGAGACTAAATAATAATCCATTGTATGTACACATTGCTTTTTAAAAAACTCATTTGAGTTTATTTCTAGCTTTTTGTTTAGTTCTTATAACAAAGTACAGGTAGAGCCTTCACAATCTATATTTTCCATTCTGTGTAGCCAACTGCAGTCCAAAATATTAAGTGGAAAAATTTAAAAATAAATAATTCATCATGTAAAACTGCATGCTGTTCTGAGTCATTATGAATCCTTTCACCATTCTGCTGTGTCCTGGGAGCTGTGTGGATCATCCCATTGTCTGTAGTAACCATGCTGAATATAGTACCTGTCCATCACTCACTTAGTTGGCATCTCTGTTGCCAGGTCTACTGTCACATATCATAATGCTTATGTTCAAATGACCCTTATGCTACTGAATCACCTCCCAAAGCACAACACTAATAATGTTGACAATATAGATGTGTCAAGGAGAAGCTGGAGAGTGCTTCCTTTATGTTAAAATGTGAAAGTTCTTGACTTAATATGAAATGGAAAGCAAATCATTGCCAAAATTTATTAGAATACATTTAATTCACCAACAAAATACCTTAACTTCTCAAATTTTCTTGTTAAATTTGTGAAAGTAGTTTAAGACCCCTAAAGGCAGGGTAACAGATTTAGATTGCTAAGATCTATGGTCAGAATTAATCTTCTGTCTACGATAATTGTGAAGGAGGAAACTCATGCTAATTTTGCAGTAGGATTTAAAGAATGGAAGTTATGACCATGGTCTGTAAGTGCTTAGTTAAGATTGAAAAGGCAATACCTTGTTGCTCAGTATTGTCAGTAGTTTCATGCAAATACCAGAATTATTGGATTGTATGTCCCACAGATGAGGGTAAGTGCTCTTCTATGCCTTACATTTTAAAGTTCACATGCCTTTTTAAATTGACTTTATTTCTGATACCTGATTAAGAAAGCACTCTCCACTTTGCATATTGACAACATCAGAGGATTAAGTGTCAGCATATTGATTGCCTGACATTGATCTTTAATGCTTTTATCTAGTCTATGTTTGCTTAAAAGACAATTCTGTAGCTGGGCAAGCTGTTGCACACCTGAAGTCCCAGCATGCTAAGGTTGAAACAGTGGGGATTGTGAGTTCAAAACCAGCTTGGGAAACATAGCAAGACCCTGTTTTGTAACCGTGAAACAAAAGTTAAATAAATGAATAAAACTACTGGATTTAATTTTCTTCTACAGTTTTTATGTGGTGTTCTAAAATTCTTGGGGAAATGAGCATTTCTAAGAAGCTTGAGCTGGGGTGGGAGAGATGGCTCAGCAGTTAAGAATACTCACTGCTATTCCAGAGGACCCAGGTTTAATTCCCACCACCCACATGGCAGTTTATAACTGTCTGTAGTTCCTGTTCCAGGAGATCCAACACCCTCAAATAGACGTACATGTGGTCAACTAACAATGTACATAATTTTTTTTTTAATATTTTGAGCTTGGTTGAAGCATCTTACTATCCATGGTGGGAATGTGTTTCTTAATACCATGCTTAGCCTTCGGGTATTTTCATTGCTAAGTTTGAGGTTTGGGGTTATAGTGTTGGCAAAAAGATGTTTGAATTTATTCATTTAACCTGTTAGTGGAAACTCTAAGCTTCTTTAGAGACCTCAGATCTATCAAGATCAAGAGAAAAAAATAAGTCTGAATTTCTTAAGTGATGTTGTGAAGGACGTAAGCCAGAAACGCCACTGCTGCTAGCCTCACCGAGAACTCCTTTCACTCTGCACAAAGCTTACTCATTTAGAGACCAAACATGGCTTTCTTTCTCTAAGAGAGCACTTTTGTTTTGAGCAGGATCAGGGTAGTTTATTTTTCTGAGCTTCATCTGCCCAACTCCCCAGGATTGTTGTGAAGAACAAATGAAAAGATGAGATGACACAGGCATAATGTACACAGTGTATGCCACAGTCCTTTTTTGCTCAGGACCCTTATGAGAAAGGTTTTTGGGGAATTGTTTGTTTGTTTTTGTAAATACTAAACTGTTGATTATACTTTGTACAATTGATAATTCCAAAATCACTAAAACAAGAGAGAAATAAGAACTGATAATATAACTGGTCAGCTAAAACTTCATATTAAAAGATGAAGAATTTCATTTTTTTTTCATCTTAAAACTGGTTATAATTTTAAAAATAGGTGGATGAGTCTATAAAAATTATGGATTATTCTCTTAATTTACAGAGTATTGTTACAATCACATTTGAAGTACCAGGAAGTGCAAAGGAAGAGAGTCTAAATGTATTTATCCAGGTGAATACAATTTTTAACTGATTAATGATTCATCAGCCACTTTGTTGCGTAGTTGTTGCATTAGCAGTTCTTGGTCTTATGAAATTGTGTCGCCTGATACAGAATCTCCTGTGGGAAAAGAACGTAGAAAACAAGGACGGCTGCTGCATGGAGGTCATACGGCTGAAGGTGCAGTGTGCAGTTTGCCCTCACAGACTTTGGAGAGAGTATCCTTTTTTGGTTGCTATGTAAAAACCATATTTGGTTTTAAACAGAAACACTAGTTTTAGTACAAATAACCTTTGTCTGCCCTCGTTTTCATCATTCTTGTTGCTGAAAAGGAGCTTTAGAAATCAGTGTAAAAAACATGGTTTATTTACACAGCTTCATTTAGTGTTACAGCTAAAATAACCTGTGTGTCTTGGACCATTAGTCTGGATCTCCTCACCCAGGTGTTCCCAGCAGTTATCTGGCTCATAAGTTTGACACTGTCAAAACTGTTCTTCTCTGCACAGATTGGTCACTTAGGGAAATCGTTTATTTTTTCAAGAAAGTGTCATTTAACAGAGAAATAATGTTGGAAATTCTGCTACTGCTGAATCTTAAGTTACTTGATGCATTTAGCAGACACTAAACATTTGTCATGTCTTATACAAAGGTACAAAATACTAGAATTCTTGTTCAGTTTTTGGAAAGCCATTCATATTACTTGACATTTGGATGTGTGTGTGTGTGTGTGTGTGTGTGTGTGTATGTGTGCGCATTTGTGTTTGTCTCTCTAAATGTGAGCACATACATAACACAATATGCACATGGAGGTCAGAGAACAACTTTTTGGGAGTCAGTTCTCTCTTACTGTGGGTCCTGGGAATCGAACTCAGTTTGTCAAGTTTTTGAGGTAAGTGTCTTTACTAACTGAGCCAGCCACCTTGCTACCCCAACACTGAACATTTATTCAGATGAATATAATACCTTTTATTTGATCATTGCCTAATTTTATTATAATACATTTCCAAAACAAATTCACCAACAAAATACCTTTACTTCTCAAATTTTCTTGGTAAATTTGTGAAAGTAGTTTAAGACCCTTAAAGGCAGGATAACAGATATTTATCACTTTCAGGTTTCTGTTGTGATAAATAACATTGAAAAATCTCAATATATTAATTTTATCATTAAAAAAGGAACCATTGCCGGGCCTGGTGTTACACAGTCAGGCAAGTGGATCCCTGCAAGTTCAAGGCCAGCCTGGCCTGTATAGCAAGTTTCAGGCCAGTCAGGGCTTGATAGCAAGACCCTGTCCTAAAACAAAAACAAAAAACAAAAAACTGAAAATGAGAAAAAGAAAGAAAGTAATTATTTTTAAAAAGTAGCCAGGCATGGTGGTCCACACCTTTAATCCCAGCACTCAGGAGGCAGAGGCAGGCAGATTTAAGAATTTGAGGCCAGCATTGTCTACAGTGTGAGTTCCAGGACAGCCAAGACCACACAGAAAAACCCTCTTGAGAGTGTACGCATAGGGGAGGGGCTATCATTGTACACAAAATTACTAGAAGTTTGAAGAAACTTAAAAGATGCAAATATTTGAAGCAAATGATTTTTATAGCTTTGTCATGAGTTTGTTTTTTAAAAAGTAATAATATCAGATTTGATTTACTATTTCTGCTTGCAAATTTGAGCCAGAGCTGAGTGACCATTGTTCTTTGAGCAGGGAGTGGTGTCCATCAAAGACAAACCACAGCAAATGATTGTGCAAGGCATCCATGAGCTCTATGACCTGGAAGAGAGCCTAGTGAGTTGGAAGGATGATGCTGAGAGAACATGTCAGCTGGTCTTTATTGGTAAGTAACAGAAAGGTCTGAAGAAAAATACAAAAATAGATTTGAAGGAGATGTAATGTGTGTTACTTAACCAGTATTAACTAAATAAGCTTGTATATTTGTCTGAATCATGCATAATGTACGATTTTGCTAGAACTTTATTCTTCAAATGACTTAGAAAATTGACTGTAAGCACTAACTTGGTTTTAAGGCTTATCTAGAAAATTGTAGAAGGAATCATGCATTTAACACTCTGGAATTGACAGGCGAACTCTTGTTTTAATAAGCAGCATGTAATCGCTATTTTGTTGTCTTCTCAGGCAAAAATTTAGATAAGGATGTTCTTCAGCAGCTCTTCATTACTGCTGTGGCAGAGGCCGAAGAGCAGAGGACAACACTGGGCAAAGATCAAGTTTGTCCATCACACTAGAAACTGCTTCTTAACAAAAGAACTGATAAGAAAAACAAAGATCAGTTTCCTACTGGATATACTTCAATGTTGAATTCGTTCATTGCTTCTGTTGTGAGTTGGGAGTATACTTTATGAAGTATTTATTTTATAAAGTATACAAAATTTTAGTAAATTATTATGAAAATACTTGATACTCATACAATAAAATATATCCTCTGAAGGTTTTTTTGAGAAAAATATTTCTCAAAAATTCCAGAATTTTTTTGAATCTTAAGCATGAATGCTGATAACTTATACATCATTTTTTGTGAAAATGATGGCAAACTTTTACCATTTTCATTTTACCTTAAAACTTAAGGTAATTGTAGAAATATAATGATCATATTGATAATAACAACAACAACAAAACCCCCAAATACTGTAATTGTATTTAAAAAGATGTTTAACCTTTATTTTTATGTTATGTGTATGGGTGTTTTGCCTGCATGTATGTCTGAACCATGTACATCCAGTGCCTGAGCAGTGTAGAAGAGAGCACTGGATCCTCTAGGACTGGAGTCACAGATGATTGTAACTCTCTATGTGGTTACTGGGAATTAACCTCAGGTCCTCTGGAACAGCCAGCACTCCTAACCACTGAGCCATCTCTTCAGCTCTGTCACCGTGTTTTTAGTGGAATGCAGCTTTACTGTTTCTAAAGACTGAAAGAGGAAGAAATTTGAGTCAAAGAAATTGAATGATATCATACAATCAGTGCCAAACTGATGTTGTAATGATACTTCAGTTCTTTGTTCTGTATTATATATGTTATAATTGTAGAACTTTAAACTTTAGTTTTATTGCTGATATTAAATTCATTTTACCTACTATGAAGTGTGTTAGTTTTCTGTATATTTTGAAAAGTTATGAGGTACACTCCTTCTAACTGTAACTGCAGACACTATTTATTTGTATATGTGTGTGTATGCGTATCACAGTGTGCGTGTGTGCATGTGCACACAGGAACTTCCAGCCAGTTTTCTTGTTTTTGCTTCCCATCTCACGGTCAAAGTGTTAGAGCTGGGATTATAAACCCCAAACAAGTGTGAATTCTAGTTGCCAGAGTTTTATGGCGAGCACTTTTACCTGTAGCTCAGCAATCTTACTGGCCTCACAGATAACTTTTTAAAAAATATTTCTAAAATTATACACATGTATGCATGTGAACATGTGTGTTGGTACCTATAGAGACCTGAAAAGGCATCGTGGTCCCCTTGAGCTGGGCTAACATGCAGTTGTGAGTCACTGTGTATGTTGGCAATTGAACTCAGGTCTTCTGCACATTAACAGTACAAAAATCTTTATTCTCCTTTCACTCATCATATTGTCCAGGAAATATGTATCTGATTGGCATAATTCCACACATACTGTTTAAAGGACCACTGAGGGAATTGACCAGTGGTCTCAGCTCTCAGTATCTTACTTCTCAATTTCCTTAATTCCTGAAAATCTGATATATCATGTCCAAAAATGACAGGGGCTTTCTTACTTATGGTTACTTATGGTTCCGTAGAGCAGTGGTTTTCAATCTTCCTAATGCTGCAACCCTTTTACACAGTTCCTCATGTTGTGGTGACCACAACCATGAAATTATTTTCATTGCTACTTTATACTATAATTTTGTAACTTATGAACTGTAATCTAATATGTGACCTCTGTGAAAGGGTGATTTGACCAGCAGAGGGATTTGATTCACAGGTTGAGACTGTTGCTCTAAAGGCACAGAACTGATAGAATGCCAACTATGGTTATCTCCTGACAGGAAGAATCCTGCAGCTGTCCAGTCCACAAGGCTGGATTCTCAGTTGGTCTTCAGTGTATGTTGGGATCCCAAAGAAGCAGGTTCTAATACTAGCGAAGGAATGCCATAGCTGTAGGATAGAGTATTGTCAAGTAGGCAAACAGCAAAAGCTTCCTTCTTCCATGCCCTTTTATGTGGGCTGCCAATGGAAGGTGTGACCCATTCTTAGAGTGGATCTTCTGACCTCAAAGGATCTGATCAAGAAAAATTCTTCATAGGTGTGCTTAGCTGCTTGGGTTTTAGTTGATTCCAAATGTAATCACTTTGACTAGAAATATTAGCCACCACAAGGAGATTGTAAAAAAAAAATAATAATCACTTTACTCAGTATTACAGTTTCAGAAGTGGAGTATATTTCCTTTAAGAAGTAAATCAAGAAGAAAATGCTACTTAATGTAGTTGATACTATGATACTTGGTTCAAAATAGATCATCAGGAAAAGTGCTGTAATTAATTCTCTGATACAAAATTCCAGTCTCAGCTTGTCTCTGCCCCCAGATTAAAAACAATTCCTATTTGGTGGGTGGTATCTATGGCTGTGGCATACGTGTAAAGGTCAGAGGACAATGTTGTGGATTGATTTTTCTCCTTTCACCTTTACTGAGTTCTGTTGTTGAACTCAGGTCATTGACTATTCACTGAGCCATTCATTGGCACTTGGATTACTCTTAATACAGTGAGAACTAGAGCATTGAGAGCTGAAAGATGATTTAAGTGTGAGCTATGTGAGCAAGTAGTTGTCCCTGTTGTGAAGTTGAAAGTGATACTGTTGTAAATGTCATTGTGCACACTTCTATATGCATATTACTCTAGAGTGTGTGTGAAGTCACTAGCATATTGGACTTGCACATTTAAATTTTTAATGGATATTGATAAATTGCCTTTCCAAATCTATATCTTTTAATATATCTATAGCTTATTCACTAGTTATATGAAAGTACCCATTTTCCTAAATACCATTAAACCATATTTTTAGCTTCTATGATGAGTGGACAGGCATATCGGTGTTTTATATTTTATTTTGTACTGCATATTGTTTTTATTCCTTAAAAGGCATATTGTCCTGCTTCCCCCACCCCCTGTCCCAAGAATGAAGTATTTCCCAGTGATCAGAGTCTTATTTTAACTATATCTTCAGGAGACTTTGGACCTTGCTTCAGCTGTTCTAAGGAGTTTTTTATTTGGTTTTGGGCTTGTTTGTTTGTAATGCAGTAATAATAATCCACCAAAGGGATCACCAAAAATCACAGGCTATTGCAAGTACTACTGGTTACTCCTACAACCTGATGGTAAGACTTATTCTTAATAAACTTTATTAATTCTTAATATACCAAGAATGTTGATTACATATAAAAATAATAATGTGGGCCACTCTTTGCAATGAACAGCTTTGCAAGGTAATTTGATGATGGTGATCAAGATTTAGACATGGTTTACCTAAGACTTTATGGTTTACTGCAGGATATAGGACCAAAGTACATTTCACTGAGCCCCTGTCTTCCTGTTTATGAAGTGGAGATAATATAGTTCTCTCTGGATTATCCCAAGGATTATATGTTAAGTATGCTGAATTCAAGATCCCAGCAAATACGAATTTCCAGTTTCTAGCAAGGTTTGCTATATAATTGAGCTTCTGCATATCATAAGCAGGCCTTTTGAGAGCTTTTTTCAGCTTTAAGTAAAAAAGGGTCAAGAAAATTGGTGCCAATTTTAAGACAGTTGCAGAAGTATCAGCATAGTTGTGTGGGAAAACTGGATGATTGACAGTGTGGTAAAACCTTAGAGCTTCGTGCCTCTAGTTTTCCTCTCTGGGTGGCTGTCAGTGTATAAACTAGAGAAGGCCCTCTAAATTACTCACTAAGCAGACTTGGGGGCTCTTACACACCTAGATTTCTTTTGTGGTGTTTTGCCGAGTTGTTGTTACTATCTTTTTGGGTCTGGGGATAGAGCTCTGTAGCAGAGCATGTGCTTAGTGGGCAGAGGGGTTCAGCCCTCTAAATTTAGTTTTAAAATTATTAAAACTAAAAATAAGAAACTTTATAAGTCTTCTCATGGACTTACGTATAGAAACTTAAGTTGAATAAAAGTAACTCTTTAGAGTCTTTAATCCCTAGACTGAATTTTGAAGGCAATTATAAAAACAAACAAAAAACCAAAACCTAAAGGCTTCTAAAGCAATGATGAGTAATACATCGGGATAGTATGGGCTTGGTGACAATCTGTGAATTGGATAATTATTCCCTTTAGTGTCACAGTCTAGGTGGGAAAACTGCTTAGACTGCTTTGAAAGAACCTTTCCGTGTCTATAAGGGCCTTATATGGGTGGGTGTGGTGTTGAAAGAAGTGAGTTCTGCCTTTAAATGCTGAGTTGTTTTCTCAGAATGAGGCTTTTTTTTTTTTTAAACTAGTATTTGTTCTGGAAAAACAATGACAGCAATGCTATTTAGTCTTTGGAGAGAGGTGATCACCAGACACTGTTGAATTCCCATTGTTCTGGGCCTCCCTTCAAATGTCCAGGACCTACCAGGGAAGACTGGAAGCCTAAAACAGCATCAATGAGGTGAACAGTAAGAGTCCTTTCTTTTGTTCCTTTAGAGTGAGGAACCATAACAGGTTTTCCCCAGGGCAATTGACTTAGTTTTCATTGCTATAGCTATTCAATTCATAGTCCCAAGCAACTGACACTTTTACTAACGTATACAGTTCACAGGTTTCACTAAGCCCACAGTTAGGAAACTATGACTGGTATCTAATTGCTGAACATTATAATTTTTTTTTAATTTTATTTTTCTTTTTAGTTACATTTTGTTAACTCTGTGTCCCAGCTGTATCCCGCTCCCTCATTCCCTCCCCAACCCCACACTCCCACCCTGGTCTCCTCCCTGCCCCTTTCCAAGTCTACTGATAGGGGAGGACCTCCTCCCGTTTCATTTGACCCTGTTTTATCAGGTACCTTCAGGGCTGGCTGCAAAGTTCTCCTCTGTAGCCTAACAGACTGCTCCTCCCCTGGGGGGGTGTCAAACAGCCTGCCCTTGAGATCCTGTTAGAAATAGTCTGTGTTCCCCTTACTTTGGAAAACTACTTGGTTACTGAGCTACCACTGGCCACATCCGAGCCGAAGTTCTAGGTTATATCCATAGATGGTCCTTGGTTGAGTGTCAGTCTCAGAAAAGACCCTGTGCCCGGATATATTTGGTCCTTGTAGAGCTCCTATCCTTTCCATATCATACTAACTTCCCTTCTTTCATATGATTCCCTGCACTCTGCCGAGGGTTTGAACATTATAATTAACTTCCAAAGAAGCATTAGGTCCATTAACAAATACTCCCCATGTTCCTTACACTAATCTCCAAGAGTGGAGTATTCAAACTCCTTTGATTTAGCATGTTTCTTGAAGGCCCATTTGACTTACTATGCATCAGTACTTAATTTAGGATTGCTGGGTAGCATTCCATTGTATGGGTCATATCGCACTTTGTGCATCTACTGCTCAGCTGACAGATAACCTGAGTTCTTATGGCCTTTAGGTCCTTCAGTTCAATCACTGCTACCCTCTGCATGATGGTGAACTGGATGTAGGGCTTCACACATGCTGGGCAAGCTTTCTGCCACTGAGCTGTATCTTAGCTGCTCTACGCTGCGTTAAACCATTGACCAAAAGTGACTCAGGGAAGGAAAGGCTTTATTTTATCTTCCAGGTAAAAGGCCATCACTGAGTGAAGTCAGGGCAGGAACATGGAGCAGAAGCCATGGAGGAATGATGCTTGCACCATTGAGGCCCACCTTCCCGCAATAAGTGGGGGTGGGGGTGTATCAGTCACCAGCCAAGACAGTCTCTCACAGATGTCACCACAGGCCAGTCTGATCAAAGCAATTGTTCAACTGACATTCCCTCTTCCCAGGTGACTTTAGGTTGTGTCAAGTAGACAACAAAAACTACACAGTATACCAGCCTTCTTTTCACTTTGGGATAAGAAAGAACTCACTGAATTTCCCATGCTGGTCTTAATAGACCAAGCAGGTCTTGAACTTGGAATCCTCCTGGTCTAGCTGCTCTAGAGTAGCTGAGGTTATAGGCTTGATTCACAAATGTGTCCACATTAATTCACATTAGTCGTATTGTGTTTGTATGTGTGCACTTGTGGAGGCTAAAGGACAACCTCAGGCATTGTTCTTCTGGTTGTTGTCCTCTTTGCATTTATCAACAGAAAGGGATTACATGCCTAGCATTTTTATGTGGGTTCTGGGATCCAACTCAAGACCCTGAGCATGTAAGGCAAGTACTTTAGCAACTGAGCTATTCGATACCCAGTCCTAGGTGAAAGGTTTACATTTATAGATACACCAGCCTCTCACCATTTGCGCATTTGTTACTGTTAGTGAACCAACACTGATATAGATAGGCTCAGACTGTTTGTCATCCTTAACTCGTCTATTTTTTTCTGTTGAAGAATCTCATTCAGGATAGAATATTGCACTCAACAGTCCTGTTAGATTCTTGTAGACCATGACAGTGCCTTAGCTATCCCATGTTTTTGTGCCCTTGGCAGGGACATAGGTGCTCTTTAATTGGGATTTGTCCTTTATAGATTGGAGTGCCATTTTCATCATACCGAGCAAGTACACATCATTATGCTGCATGGTAGTTGATGCTGGCCTTCATCTCCTGGCTGAGGTTTGGTCAGATTTCTCCACAAGAAAGGCTACCCTATTTCTCTTTCTATTGTACTTTTTGGGAGAAAGTCACATCTGTGGCCCACACAGTAACTAGTTGGGAATTAGGCTCCATCTCCAATAGTTATGGAAGGGAGTTATTTGAAATTCTGTAAGAGATTTCCTTTATTGATTTAATCATTTATTTTTAGCAATGTGGACACACAAATATATTTTAGACATTATAACCCAGCTACTTTTGGTTGCACCAATTGCCCCTGCTTTGGCCACAGGGAGCTCTTTAGTTGGCTCCTGAGTCACCTTTGTCATAAACCCATAATGTGTGTATGGGGGGGGGGGTTGTTTTTGAGCACATTCTTACACCCTTTCATTTGTAAATAACCCAAATCCCCATAGCAGTTGACTTTAGGAAAACCAACAATACCCTCTCTCCCAGGTAATCAGAGAGGGGGAGCTGAGTCTTTCCCCCAGGGGGTGAGGGCAGCCTCTGGGGCTCTCTGAATGAATGAGACACCTGCCCTGCCCCCCTGCAGTTTAGAATCACACAAATAGACATGGGTCAATTTTGGATTCAAACGCAAATCTGTCATGCTCAGACCTGTTGTTTGTCCAAAAACCCCCCAAGAGCATAAAGCTTTATTCAAAGGCTTGCCGGGGAGCTGTTCTCCAAAAGCTGCTAACTAGTTTAACCCCAAAGGTGTGAAGCTATTTTTGATGTATTTTGCCCTGGTAGTTAACTTCTGATTTCTCAGTAAAAGTCACTATCATTTCAAACACGAATGCTGACAATGGCATAACTTTCATCCTTTCCTACTTCGTTTTATTAGATTCCACCTCAGAGATTCTTCCAATACATACCATGGCATATTTTTTCCATATGAGCTATATTTATGTAACAAACATATTCTATCACATCGCTACTTAAGTTGCTGGGCTACTTCACATGAAACTAATCTAAAAGCTTAGGTACTCCAAAGCATTCAAGCGTGACCAGGGTTGCTGTCCTGCTCTGCAGTGTGGATGCTTTAAGGTTGATCCGGGTGTATCTAGTAGCAGGGACACCGCAGCCCAGTCCTTCCTCAGTTTAGTTTCAAGCTTTATTATTAGTCCAGTAAAAGTGCTTCATGTTTCTGGATGGATGTTGGTGTTGCGGTGGGGGGTGGGGTAAGGACAGGCTCGCAGGCAAGTGCGCCTACCTACACACTGAGGGCATTTCTTTAGCTATAGAACAACTTTGGGGAAACACTTGATGGTGAAATAATGTAGTTGGTCAAGACTATTAAGAAAAATAAGATGATGAAGAAGAAATCAGTTGTTAACTGTGGTGCAAGCATGTTGCTTTCTGATGGCACTTTTAGGCACACCCGTCTGAATGTGAAAGATAATATGCACCTTTTTTTCTCTGGCTAAATATTAAAAGAAGCTGGAAAATTATGGCTGTAAAGAGACTAAGGAAACACTTTCTTTCCCATTTTAAAATTCACACTGAAGTTCCACAGCGTAATGCTAGGGTGTTTTAATCTTATGGAAATCGAGTCAGGGGGACAATTGATGGAGCTTGAGTGGAGGCAAGGAGCCATTCTTCTTGAACGGGAGATGTAGCATTAAGTAAGTCAGTGTGCCATTCTGCTTGGTATACATTCTTTTACTCTCTCTGGCGCGAAGTCAGTACTTGGAGAGGTCCAAGTATCACGGGTCGTTGGGTATCATGTTTTCCTCCCAGTTTTTGCGCAACATTAACAGAGCCTAGGCAACGCCAGGGTCCTTTGGCTGATTAAACCAAGAGGAGAGCATCTTCCTTGGTAGTGGTTGGATGAAAAGAGGAGGGGCCAAGGACCCACATCATTGGACTGCGTCAGGAGGAACAGAAAGGATATATAGCGGAAAGTCCACTGCACACTTCTAGAAACTTAGACCACCAAGTGCACCTTGCCCCACGGTGTAAGAAACAGAAAGAACAAGGAGGCCTAACCTAGGAGCAATCCAGGTTCCTGACAGACTCATCTCGGCTAACCCACCCCAAACCAGGTGAGCTGTCCCCACATCCGTCCCCTCCTCTCCCTCTTATCCTCCATGAACTTGGCAAGTGCTGGGCACCTTCGCTCCACTCCGACACCCAGTCCCCTAACCTCCGACCGGGATAAGGTGGAGATTGACGTGCTGGCCGAGGAGGAAGATGGAGATCAGTCAGAGGACGAGGAGGAGACGGAGGAGACCAGCCAGAAGTGCCTGGAGCCCTCGCTGCGAAGGTCCGGAACCCTCACGCCTCCCGGGAGGAGCGTCAGGGACAGAGGCGGCTCGAGCGACTCCTCCGGGTTCGTCCGAAAGTTCCGAGAGCCACGGACAACGGCGACCGCAGCCGCCGACGGCCCGCAGCCCGCCAAGCCCCCGTACTCCTACATCGCGCTCATCACCATGGCCATCCTGCAGAGCCCGCACAAGCGCCTGACGCTCAGCGGCATCTGCGCCTTCATCAGCGGCCGCTTCCCCTACTACCGGCGCAAGTTCCCCGCCTGGCAGAACAGCATCCGCCACAACCTGTCGCTCAACGACTGCTTCGTCAAGATCCCCCGCGAGCCGGGCCACCCGGGCAAGGGCAACTACTGGAGCCTGGACCCCGCCTCCCAGGACATGTTCGACAACGGCAGCTTCCTCCGGCGCAGGAAGCGCTTCAAGCGCCACCACCCACCGCCGGGAGGCCACCCGCACTGTCCCTTCCCCACACCCGCCGTGCCCGCCACCCTGCACATCTCCAACCCCGGCCTGGTGCTCCGCTACTCCGCCCCGCCGCCGGGCCTCCCAGCCCAGCCCGCCGCCCCGCCCGGGAGCCACCCGTGCGCGCAGCCGCACCCACACCCGCACCCCCTCAGCTACCTGCTGCTCGCCGGCCCCGCCTGCGCGGGGGCGCCCGGGAAAGCGGAAGGCGCGGACCCCGCCACGCCCCTCGTCCTCCCCGCGCCGCAGCCCGCCCGGGCCTCCCAGCCCTGGGACGGGGCCGAGGGTTCCGGGTCTCGACGCGGGCGAACCTCGTTCACCATCGAGAGCATCCTGCGCGGAGTTAGAGGCGGAGGAAGTGGGGCTGCGCAGAGCCCGCCCTCCGCCCCGTGGAGCTGCTGCCACCTGCTGCAGCACCCGCCGTGCCTGCTGCACCCCCAGGCCGCTTCCTCGCTGCTTCACGTGTCGGCGGTCGCCCGGACGGTGTTGCAGCCGCCGCCGCCGGAGCAGCAGCAGCACTGGGCCGGAATCTGCGCGCCGGGGAGAGGCTCGCGCTGGGGCCGCCACCTGTCTGCGGTTGCGGCGCTGCTGATGCATCAGCCGGCCGCTGACGGCTGCAGGCTGCCGAGCCTGGCCGCTCTGTCGGGCCGAGAGGGGACCTTGCCGGCGTTCTAAGCATCGCCCAAGCCCAGCCTTCAGGCCAAGTCTCCCTGGCACACGTGGAACCAGCCTCTGTCTAGGTTTGCACCACCGCCTGCGAGGCTTGTGCGTGGAAAACCAGCGGCGGAGCGCACGCTCAGTCCCGCAAACTTTTACAAACTGTGTCCTACCCCCTTGACCGCCCGAACGCGGGAAAATCCCGGGGCTTCAGGTCTCGCCTTGTCAGCTTCAGTTGTGGCTTCTTCCCGAGGACCAGTGAACTAGGAACGTGAGTGAGGTGTTTCGTTGTTAATAAAAACAAAACAGCCGGCAGCGCACAAACATCCCCGTCTTCATTTCCTAGGAACCGCAAGTGTTCTCCCGTGCAGACTACGTGCTCCGACTTCCCAAAATCCGTATGTAATACACGTAGAGCAATTTCGGAACATTTATTACTTGCATATGTGACGTGCCCTACTCCAGCGGGGAGTGTTAAAATTAAGCCTAGTTGTGTAGATCGAATAAAATACTAAATCAGGACGCTACATCGCTTGTTTCCTCTTTTTTTTTTTCTTGTTTCCTATCGTTATTCGATTTCATAAATTGAATTTCTTTTAAAGTTTATATTCTTATCTCGCAATTCGTCTTTATACTTTATATTCATTATAGACATCAGGGATAACACATTTAAAATTTTTAAATTTCCAAATATTTCAGAACGAAATATTTATCTTATCAAATAGTTTTAATACTTACGAAACTTCTAGAAAGAAAAGAATTGTAGGAGTTAATACAACCTTCATTCTCTCTCACCCCTACCCATCGCTTTCTTTTCAGGTTTTTGAAGGAGGGGGTGCTGTGTAACTCTTGGTAACCTGGAGCTAGCGATCTTCCCATTTCTGCCTCCAAAATTCTTAGCATGTCCCACTACGCAAAGCTTATTCGCCATTTTTATCGAGTTGGTTTTTCTGAGCTTAACTGGAGGGTGACCGGGGATCAATTTGAAACAAAGTGCTTATACTCTTGGGAAATAAACAGCTAGTGAGTACATTACAGATACTAATATTTTCAAGTCCTTTTCCGGGAGGCCTTCGCAACCGTTATTCAGTCCCAGGGTGCAAGGAAAACTAGAGAACTCCAGGCACCAATGACTGCCGGAAAAGGCGGGATTTTAGACACTGGATCAATGGGGAGTGGGTTCTCTAATTCTTTGGGAAAAGCCGCTCTGAGTAGAAGAAATCGTCTGTGTTCCCCACCCTCACAAAGAAGTCTACAGTTCATTGCTTACAGAGTGTATATATTCCTACAGCCCGCCCCACTTGCTGCCTGATCCCTTCCGACTTGAGTTTTTTTGTGGGACCCTCTGGAAAGTTCCTAAACTCGGGTAATTTTGAGGGGGGCTCTTTGGTCCCCACAATACCACTCCTTTGGTGACCTGCAAGCAGCCTGAGAGTTTAGAGGCAAATCAAAAAGAGAAAGATCCTCTTTCCCATCATTGCGCTTTGAGCAAAGATGTTCAGCCTGGCCACCTTCAGGTATTCAGTTACCCTCTTCCCGTCCCCCGCTGTAGCCGACCCCTAGCCAAACAGTCCTCGACTGGAGGATGACCAGGCCAGAGCCTGGCCCAGGTCAGCCCCTAAGTCACACCGCTTTGCTATTGAAAACATAACAAAACTAGACTTTCTAAGATCGGATGGGTAAAATGAAGGTCGTTCCAGGGGTCCGCTGGGCCAGGGCTCCCTGAAGACTGGGACAGCTCGGACCCCCACCTGTTCAGTGCCTGTCCAGGTGGCAGAGGAAGCTGTCGCTGTTCCTGAGAAAAAACGCAGGGGCCCCAGCACCCTCAGCAGCCCTCCAGTCGGGCGTCCCCACCGCGCCACGCCCCTGGGACACTCAAAGGAGCTCGGCTGAGACGCAGCGGCTCCACCCCCATCCCTTCTCCAGGCCCACGCGGGGCCCCAGTGGGCTGTTCTGGAGTCCGTGTCTCGCTGGTAGCTGTCTTGGTCTGGGCTTAAAAAACAACAATTACAAGTGTGGCTTCTGAGACTCCTAGGGCTGGAGGGTCTCAGTGGGCACAGACTGCGTCCAGATCGGACGCTGCTGGCCATCCCCACGACCACAGCGGCTCGGGTCTCTGTCCTCTAGGAATGAATTAGCTTCACCATTAGCTTCTCTTCGACCCCTGTTCCTGGTGCGCGGGGCACTGAACCCTGTAGCCCCTCCCTCCCCCATTTGCAAAGAAATTAGGAGAAATTGTTTCCTAAGGACCCTTGGGTGGCAGGGTCCGGGCCCATTTGTTTTCTAAACCTCGAACTCTTCACGCACCTGTGGCCTCCTGCGCCAGCCTTGGCAGGGGGGGGGGGGGGCGCTCAAGGTCAAGACCGGGAGCCCACTAGGTCACTAGTACCGAAGTAGCTAGTGGGGCGGGGAGGGGAGAGGGATAGGGAAGAATTCAGGGAGCTCCTGCCTCCAGGGTGATTTTGTTCCGGTTCGGTTCTCCACGGTAGTCCCTTAGAACCTGACCCCAAAACGCAGCAGAGCCGCCTCCTCCTGGTGGTGGGTTGGGGGCTGCAGCCATTTGTTTTCCCACTTACTGCTTGCTGCGCAGGACAAGGAATCCAGGCGCTTTTCAAGACGCCTGGAAGAAAAGTTTGAAACCGGAGCAGCAGGCCGGCAGGTGCTAAGGTACTGTCTGTCATGTGCCCGGTCCTTACTAGGGTATCCTAAATGAACGACCTGCGGACGTTCTGGAATGAGCGCTTAGAATCCAGAAACCCTGATCATCTCCGGACTTGCAGAAGTCAGCCGCTCCTACTCCTTTGGTTTAGATTCTGTGACAGATGATACACACCACAGAGGCTCACCGGTACCGGCGGCGGGGGGTGGGGGTGGGGCGGGGGTGCGCACTGGACTGGACTGTTAGCAGCAGCAAGATGGACCAAATGGAGTCTTTTGAAGATAGGACTTGTGGGAGACTGTTCGTCACTCAGCATTGCACAGAACATTCAGGAAAAAATTTCCCACATCGACATATAATCAAAATTGGCACGGAAATTGAATTGCTACTGTCACCTTGTGATTTTTTTACAAAACAGTCTTAATAGCCTTTTCCCCACATCAGCCATGAGATTATTTCAATGCTTTCTAAGTGTTCATAACGTAAAAGCACTAATTGAAAAGAATTCGTACAGCTGACAGCTGACAAAATTGAATTCCTGCAAAAGAAGAGCAAGCATTTGAGACCACAGTGTAAAATCCACCTCCACCTTGGTTCCCTGCTGCTCAGCTCCCTTAACACAGTGGATGAGTGTGAACCAGTCCTCCATAGGGTTTCCTTAGGGTGCAGGAATGTTCTGCAGCAATCAGTAGACTGTTTCAGGACAGGTATGACTTCCTTACAGTGATGCACTTTCTCTTCCCAAATCCAGGCAAGAAAACAATGAGATTATAGGAAGCCTGAGAGGAACACATTTTTCCATGCATAGCTGTGAGTCTATTTAAGGCAGAATTTATGACCCACAGTTTATAAATTATTGACTATTACTGCAAGCCATAGTATCTACTGAATACGTAAGGTACATCTTTCTTTCTTTCTTTCTTTCTTTCTTTCTTTCTTTCTTTCTTTCTTTCTTTCTTTCTTTTTCCTTTCCTTTCCCACCTTCTTTTAAAGATAGGGTCTCACTATGTAGCTCCGGCTGTCCTGGAACTCACAAAAATCCTCCTGCCTCTGCCTCCCAAGAGCTGGGATTAAAGGTGTGTGTGTCACCATATCAACAGTGTGCCATTTTTCAAGAACTTACTTATTTCATTTGAAAAAGTCACTAAAATGGAAACTTTCATAGAGAGAACGGTGTCATTTTACCTCTGTGATAATTATTTGTATTACATTCACTGGTCTCATCTTTACCATCTTACTGTTCTCTCATCTCTAGATTATTTTGTGACGATTCATTTCACCTATAATTATCTCAAAAGAAAGTTGTTGTTGTTGTTGTTGTTTTTTTTTTTTTTTTTTTTTTTTTTTTTTTTTTTTTTTAAGTTTGTTAGTTAGAGCAGGGCACAATGGTACAAACCCTGGAGGCAGAGAGGGGAAGAACACTGTGAGTTCCACCCCATCCAAGGCTACAGTGGTGACACCCTGTCTCACAAAACAAAAACAAAAACCAAACAAAGACAGAAACAAAATTAAACAAACGAACAAAAAAGCTTGTTAGTTTGAACAATAGCTGTTCAGGCGCTAGCATCTGGCTAGCTAGTCTCTCAGCTTTCGTTTAGGTTGCTCCATCCTCTTTCATTGGCCCCAGGGACTTAGAGACAGCTGAAGAAAGTAACTGAGAAATTTGGGATTCCAGATTTTCTGCCCACAGGCGATATTCTAATGGTGAAATATACCCAGTGATAATGCTGTTTCTACAGACTTAAAACAACAAAACCAAAACAAACAAAAAACCAGAGTCTCACTATATACCCCTGACTAATCTGGAACCCTGTGTAGACCAGGCTGGCCTCAAACACACAGAGATCTACCTATGTCTGTCTCCTTAGAGCTGGGAGTAAAAGCATGCATCGACACTGCCTGGCCTCTGCTGCAGATTTTTGAATATTCCCAAGCATGGATCTTGGAAAGCTTATGTTAATTCTACTTAAATGTTTCTTATATATTTTTTTTAAATATTGATTGTCATTTTGGTGCATTTGTAGACACATAAAATTATTAAACAAATAACAACATCTACAATTTAAATTATTTTATTTGTGAGAATAAAGGCCCTTTATGCCTTTACATTTTTATGTTTTAACATTTTACATTTTATATCGTGTTGTGTTTTAGAATTGATAAGGTAAGAACACAAATTATGTGCTTGGAGAAAGAAAATTAATTTTCGGTAACCTCAGATGAAAGATAATTAGGATACAAAGTTAGATTGGACAGAAAAGCAACCACTTACAGGTAAAAAGCAAGTTTATAAAATCTGAAAGTAGCTTACTACTTCTGCTTCTTATGAATGAGTTTGCAAACTAAATCAAACTTCTTA